CAACGTCCAAGTACGCATCAGAAGGAGGAGAAGGAGGAGAAGAAGAAGAAGAAGAAGGAGGAGAAGAAGAATAAGAAGAAGAAGAAGAAAAAGAAGAAGAAGAATAATAAGAAAAAGAAGAAGAAAAAAGAAGAAGAAGAAGAAGAAGAAGAAGAAGAAGAAGAAGAAGAAGAAGAAGAAGAAGAAGAAGAGAATAAGGAGGAGGAGAATAAGGAAGAGGAAGAGAAGGAAGAGAATGAGGAGGAGGATGAAGAAAGAGAATAACGAGGAGGAAGAAAAAAAAGAATGGGAAGAAGAAGAAGAAGAAGAAGAAGAAGAAGAAGAAGAAGAATAAGAAGAAGAAGGAGGAGGAGGAGGAGGAGGAGGAGGAGGAGGAGGAGGAGGAGGAGGAGGAGAAGAAGAAGAAGAAGAAGGAGAAACATGAGTGGGATGGAGGGTTTGTGAGAAATAAACAGAGATGTGTGAGAGGTTTGTGTGTGTGGTATCAAAGAAAGAAACATGATATTTTTTATGTAATTGGTATTGTTTTTCATTAAAGGTTTACATGTCATTATCTATTTTTCATTTAGATGGTACTAAAGTGAGAAACAATTGGTATTTGAACTATCCATCTCCTTTGTTAAATTTGTATTCTTTGTTGTCTAACATAAATTTTATGTGAGAAATAAACAGAGATGCGTGAGAGGTTTGTGTGTGTGGTATCAAAGAAAGAAACATGATATTTTTTATGTAATTGGTATTGTTTTTCATTAAAGGTTTACATGTCATTATCTATTTTTCATTTAGATGGTACTAAAGTGAGAAACAATTGGTATTTGAACTATCCATCTCCTTTGTTAAATTTGTATTCTTTGTTGTTTAACATAAATTTTATATAGCGACATATATATTGTAGGATGGAAAACATATGTGCTACGATAAAATAGGGTCTTTATCAAATTTTTCCTCATTTACGTATTGTCGTAAATACCCTTCGTATAATTAATATTTTAAAAAAATCGGCCATTATATATTATTAATGTAATGTCAATTTTACCCTCTATATTTTTAATGCAATTTTAAATATATATTTATTGCTGAATTAAAATTTATAATGTCAATTATATCATTATTCGTAAAAATCATTAAACCACCCATCCAAAATTGCATCAACCAGAATTCGAACTCGTGACCATCTGAAAACACACAAAAAAACTTACCATTAAGTCACAACACATAATTGACAATAAACTAACAATACGAATATATATCACAAAGCTACAATTTATAATGGTTATAAAACTTATATAAATAATGTTAAATAAATTATTAATTCTCATATAATTATTATTATTATATATTAAAAATATCCCATACTAACAAATCTTTATATAAGATAATCTAAAAATCTAAGTAAATGTTGTTCGACTCGTGTAATTTAAAAATTAATTTCGAAAGAATTTGAAGTTTGAATTGAATCGTAAATTGTAAGATTTAATTAAATCGTAATATTTGAATCAATTAAACTCATGTGTTTCATGAACAATATTCAAAGATTTGATAGATTAAGCTCAACTCATTTCAATTCGTAGACAATATTCAAATATTTGAATCGGTTAAACTCAATAATTTACAATAGCGTATTAATCAATCTGTGTATAGTTAAAGTTTAGTAACTTTTTTTTATTGAATTTTATTATAAAAAATAATAAAATTTAATTGGTAAAAATCGTAAGATTTAATCGGTTCATGGTTAGATTAAATCTTACGAACGATCTGATTCTTACGATTTTACGAATTAAATTATTATTTTGTTGTTAAAATTGAATTAAAAGGATAGTAGACTTTAATTATAAATAGTTAACTCGATTAATACGTTCTTGTCAGTAGTTGAACTTAATCGATTCAAATTTTTGAATAATATTTACAAATTAAAAGGATTTGCTCTTAATTGATTCAAATCATACGCTTTAATTAATCTTATGATTTGATTCTTGCGTAATTTAGGAATTATTTTTTTATGATAAAATTGAATTAAAAATGTAATACACTTTAATTAATAATAGTTAATTTGATTAAGACGTTCTTGTCAATAGTTGAGCGCGCTAATGAATCGATTCAAATATTTGAATAATGTTTACGAATTGAAAGGCCTTGAGCTTAATTGGTTCAAATATTACGCTTTGATAAAATATTATGATTTACGATTAGGTTCTTACATGTGTTAGGAATTAAATTTATTATTTTTATGACAAAATTGAATTAAAAAGATATTAGACATTACTTATAAATAGTTAAATCAATTTTGTAACATGTTATGTCAATAGTTAAGCAACTGATTCAAATATTTGAATAATGTTTACTAATTGAAAGGGTTTGTACTTCATCGATTCAAATCTTACTAGTTGATTAAATTAAATATTAAAAGAAAATTCACAATATAATATTTGTAGTATATAATTTTATTTTAAAGTAAGAAAACTACTAATTGGAATGACTTATAATTTTTTCTTCTTCTAAATAAACATATTATTTTAATTTTTATTTGGATTTGCCACACTATCGACTAAATAACATAAGTGAGTTTGAATTAAGTTATGCATTTTTTTTAATTGAGCATTCTTTACATTTTTAAATTGTGGATTTTATTAATACTTCTAATATTATATAATTAATGATAGATGTTTGGCGTATTGAACTGCAATTCTTTATATTTTTCAAACTTTATTTTATTAAATTTGTTAATAATTTATTTAATACCATTTAATAATAATGAATGTTGCAATTAATATTTGCATTAACGATATTTATATAATTATTGTTAAATATTTCATAATAAGTTAATGTGCTTGGATGGTTAGGAGTGTTAAATGTATTAAGAGGTTACAAGTTCGATTTCCAATGAATGCATTTTTTTCGATTATTTATCAAATAAAACTCAGTCACAATGAATTTAAATTAATTATTTAATTAAAATATAGTAGGGGGTAAATTAGACAATTCAATGTCAATCAATTTTATATTAATTTAATAAAAAAAATAATCGAAGGATAATTTGGTAAAGTATTCATTTTTTAGAACATAAGCCATGTTATTTTCCTAGGGTCCAGATTTAATCTTAGAAAATTAATGGTGATTAATGCATATCAAATAAGTTTAGAACATGGGTGGTCTCACCCTAGAAAGACCCAATAAAATAATGTAATAGTAATGTAACTTTAATATTATTTAATAGATGTTTTTATTACAATTTTTACTATCATTTATTTAAATTATTATTTTACGACCCCGTGCAACGCACGGACACGATTATTGGTATATAAAAAACAAGAACACGGATGCACCAAAACCTTGAAATTAATCAAACAAACATACAACGTACAAATTAGCAAAAATTACGATAATCAAACAATATAATTCACGAATTTCTCATCCAAATAATCCCTTTTCAATTTTAATTAATTCACCAAAACACAATACATAGATTATTTGAACATTAGACGAATTTATAATCTATACAAATTAAAGAATATCAACAATCAACATCCATAACATCACCATCGCCGCCTCCGTACGAACTACTAGTGTCGGGTACAACGTAAGCAACGACAACGGTGATGTCATCTAATTTCCCTCCGACATATCGAATTCCCGCCTCGTTAGCCGCCACCTGAAACGGGCTTACGGTCGTCGTCTCCCGAGATCTCCCGTGCGCCGCCCTAGCCAGTGTCTCCGACAAAGAAAACATCGAATCCATGCAATAGTCCCCAACAATCCTCTCTATATCCCCGGCGAATAAATTATCAAACAAACCGTCCGTCCCGGCGACGACAACGTCGCCGCTCTCCACCTCCACCGCCAGCTCCGCCGCCTGCCGGTGGCTGTGCTTCTCCGACGAATACTCCAACTGGTAAGGGAAGTTGAAACTGTGCTGCTGCACCGGCGACCTGTAAACAGTCCCGCCGCCCCTGATCACCATGAATCCGCTGTCGCCCACATTCGCCGCCCGGAGAATCATTTTTCCGACGGGGGCGGCGGCGAATGATATTATGCAGGCCGTGGAAGAACCCATCTCCGCGGTATTCAAGAAAGCATGCCTGAGAACTTCCTTGGGGTCCACTTGGAATATGGGGCGGTGGCGGTACTCCTTGACCGCGGCGGCATAGGCGTTTCTCATGAGCTGTCTTGCGTATTCTCCGGCGTCGATGCCTTCCGTCGACCACCCGCCGACTCCGTCGGCAACTCCGATCACCTGCGCTGACTGGCTGAAAAAGGTGGCGTCATCGCCTGTTTCATTCTTTGGTATGTAGTAAGATTCTGCAAGCATCTTCAGCTTTGCCATTAATTAATTAATTAATTATTTTGTGTTCCTCCTGTATTGTAACCTATAATTAAGCTATGTAGAGATTAGGTTTATTGTTATATAAGAGGACGTAAGTACATATTCTAGTCTCCCTAGGGGTTAGAATTCTAATTCTAGTAGGACATGAATTATACCAACTTAAAAAGGATTATATACACATTTAAGAAACGGATTATATAGTAAAGAAATTAGTTCCCAATTCGGATATTATTTATCTTTATATGTATTTTGTTATATGGATTAGGATTGTGGTTTAGCTCCACAGCAGTTTTTACCTTACCAATTAACTAAATTAATTAATTAAAAAAAAACATTCAATTCTTTTGTCTTCTAAATAAATTCAGCTCATTCAAATACAAATATGGGCAATACAACGACTAGCAGGTATTTATTTTTTGTTAAATACAAATATGTAACTTAATGCTATTTTGTGTACTGAAACGTAACATATTTTAATCATATTATGGTGGAAAGTAACCATAAAGCATTGAAGAGATGGTTGGATGCGTCCACAGGTGGATTTGACACATTTTGGGCACAATATTATTCACAAATAACAGATCAACTTAATGAGATCCTGAATGACTTTGCGAAGTCAAAGAGGATTTGGGCTAAGACGATTAATGTGCCTGTGTTTAAAATTTTTTCTGGTGGAATTGTAACTCATGTCGCTCTGAAGCTTTTGGACGCTAAGCTTGAGACAGATTTAGACAGCTGCACTCATTTTCTGAGGACAACTCATGGCCTCCCATGCAAACATGAAATTGATATTAAGGTGAATTCGCGAGGTGATTTGTTTTATGCGGAGGATGTTCACTTGTTTTGGAGGACAACAGTTTTGGTGGATGGTAGCCAAGAAGAAAGTGTTGGTTCCGTTTCCGACCACAGGACACATGCTATTTTTCAGCTCGACGAATTAATTGATGAGCTGCGTCAACGGTCTGAAATTGAGATCATTGATGTGATAGATGTAGTTTTCGAAAGAATGCATCCTGGGGAGACGTAATTAAATGAACGACCAGTAGTAGACCGCCTGAGAGGCAGACCGCGGAACGACTCCACACGTAGGTATGATTCAGCACATGAGTATCCACTATACCCCACACCGGACGAAGATAACGTAACTGGACGAGGACGAGGACGAGGACGAGAACGAGGCAACAGAGTTCGTGGTGCATCTTCTGAAATATCTAGCAGAAACTGTAGCCGTTCATCGGCTGTGAGTGGACCCGAAACGGTACGAATGCCCCGACCTGATTTTTTTCGACATCTTCATTTATGCCTTGTTCTTGAGGTTGTGACATGGACGGACGTTCGAGGAGATGGTAATCGCGGTTATAGAAGCGTTGCGTGTGCAGTGAAAGATCACGAGGATGATTGGATGGATGTTAGATTGGATATTTATAAATGTATCAGAAGAAACGAGAAGTTGTTCAAGGATTATTTCGATGGTGGTAATTTTGTATATCAGGTGTTGGCGAAAGTCGCCCATTAGGACAACGCTCAAGCACCAATTGAAAAGTGGATGACCATCACGGACGTGGGCGTGGTCGTAGCAACATGTTACAACGCTTTGGTGTTGTCGGCTAGCAGTTCGGGAAATCAGACTTATTTGCCACTTTGGGGTCCCGAAGGTGTTTCACGGTTATCTTATCAGATGACTATATTGCATCTTGAGGCAGGAAGTCACTTTGTGTATGTGAAGATGACTGACAATTGTGCACTTTCTCCATTTAAGTTGCAGTGGCGGATGTACAACAATGATAGTGTTGCATATTTGACAGAGGCGATGCGAGGTAGACGTCAAGCGTGGGATATTCTAAATAGTGTTTGATTTAGTTTAGTTTTATCGGATTTAATGTATTATAGTATTTTTTTTATGTCGAACTTAGTACTTAATCATGTGTTAAGTGTATATTTTCACATTGTTAAGTGTATAAATAGATGGTAAAAAATGCAATTTAGGAGAAAAGGTGGGCGAAAAGTGAAGAAGTTAAAAGCTTCTGGAATTGAGACGGCCGTCCGAGAAATACACTTGGATTTCGGACGGCCGCCTGGAAATTCAATAAAGCCTCTGGAATTGAGACGGCCATTCGAGAAATACACTTGGATTTTGGACGGCCGTCAGGAATTTGAATAAAGCTTCTGGAGTTGGGACGGCAGTCCGAGAAATACACCTGGATTTCGGACGGCCGTCTGGAATTTGAAAAAAGCCTCTGGTATTGGGACGACCGTCTAGAATTTGAACTAAAAATCCGGACGGCCGTCCGAGAAGGAGTATAGGCGCAATAAAGAAACATATTTTTACGCAATTTCAAGAGCAAAGAAGCAATAACGAATAATTCGAAGACTCCAACCATATCCAACATCATCAAATTCGAAAAAGAAAACAACAATACAACATCATCAAATACGAAAACAAAACAACAATCCAACATCATCATCCGAAAAAGAAAACACCAATCCAACATCATCAAATCCGACAAAAAAAGAAAGCGAACAGTCCAACATCACCGAAATCTGAATTAAAAAAAAACCAATAACTAAGTATACCTCGTCCGTCGTCTGCCCTGAGAATGTCGCACATGTGAGTCTCCTTCATCTTGCTCGTCATCAACATCTATATAAGGACGCTGCAACTGCAAATACTCAGTGAATGGGGTGCACATGTCCTAGATTGTGACGCCCACCTTCTATGAAGCGTTTGTCAAATTAGTCTATGAAATTACCTAATCTATTTTGTTTTTTGAATAATACTAATTCAATCTATAGCTCACAAAAATACGTACAGTTTATTTATCAACAACCTTACGTCTATCAAGGTAAAGTACAAAGGTTCCGAACAATTGTTTTTATCTTAAGTATTACAATACTAATAATATAACAAATGCAAACGCTGATGTTTAAAATACAAACAACGATTATTGGGAACTTAATTAAAACCGCTATTTTACAAATATAAACAAGGTAGCTACTCGGACGGGAAATCCTCTGGTTTATTCAAGTTGCACCTGTGTCTGAGAATATGACAGAATAAAGTAGAGGGATAAGTCATAGAAGACTTAGTGAGGTGAAATATAAGAATAATGAGTTATAACATTATCTAAGAGAAATTTCGATGATCGAACCATTATCGGAAAATAGAAGCGTTTAAAGATTATATGTCAATTGGAAATTCAAGAATAATAGTAAGAATGATCAATCGATTTTCCGATCAATAGAGATAAGAATACACCTACCTTGTGACACCCGGAGCCGTTTACTACCTTATTCACCGAGCAGGGAATGACCCTGTAATGCAATGTGGCATGCCCAGGCGCATGCCGGTTTACCCCGAAACCCAACTAACCTCCAGTTGTGTACGGGTCTAAACCTATGTGGGTACTGTTGGAGAGACTACCCACCGTTGACCCGATACCGCCCATCGGTCACCTCCAAAAAGCCCCGGGCCCATCAATATCCATTGTCCTTGAGGCGTCCCAAAAGGACATATCGATCATGTAAGAAGACCATATTATTCGATTGTTTCAGGATTTCGAAGACAATAGAATTTAGGAGAAACATGAACAAGTGAATGGCTCAATGAAAGGCTTGATGGTTCAAAACATGAAGTTTAGATCATTGAATAGAACTCGAAGGAAAACGATCGGCTTCAAAGAATTTCATACCAATCACACAATAATTACTAATCGAAGGAATGGAAATCAAAGAATTGAACTCTCGATAAGATCGTATTTCTCAAATAATCTCGAGCTCAACATAATCCAATCAATTTCAAATAACGATAATCAAAATGATAACGAATAGACCAATTCAGTGAAATAGAGCAAAATCCAAGTACTCGAGCGATACAATTACCCGAGTCTATCATATTCCCACAAAAGGTCAAGCAAGATAATCTTCACCTTGGTCCAATCAATAGCACTCGTCCGTTACGGTTCCTCGATTTCGACACCTATGCAATATTTAAACTGTAAGACACCAAATATTTATTAAAATAAATTAATATACATTATATGTCGTCCTAGCTTTCTATGCCCTTAAGGCCAATTAATTCACTTACCAATTCTAATTTAATCTGACCCCGTAACCAACATCAAAACTTAACACATAAACATTGCGTTTATGTTACCAGATTAATGAACCAGGACGAAGACCCACATAATTTGTTCATATATGACGACTTTCTCAACATAATAATAAAACTTATATGCTGCCACAATTTAGTCAAAAATTCATAACAAATTGCACGTTTTTCCAAATTATCACATAATACGTCGAATGAAAGCTAGCTAATAATATTACGAGTTCACAGAGGACTTCGATCCCAAATTCTGGTAAAAAATAGCAGAATTACCCAAAACCAGCATGTAACAGAACTGCCAAAACATTGAAAAATCATTTCTGGTACAACTTATATGAAAAATAATAACATGCTATACACATCTCGAAACAAAACAAAATTAAAGCCAATAACAATATCTACGAGTTTAGTGAAGACACCATTTTCAAACTATGAGCACAACATAGTTAAAACAGCCCCCGAAAAGGTTAACAGAAACTGTCAGGATTTTACAAAATTTCATTTTCTCGCGGGATAATTACAGTTTTGGTCCCCCAAGTTTGCACGATTTTCACTTTTGGTCCTCCATTTACCGCCGTCAACAAAATACACACTAATGTTGTCACATTTTAACACATTTAGTCCCTCCGTCTCTTTGACCGTTAAGTAGTAACGGTCAACTCTTGAATTACGGCTGAATTTGTGATTTTTCATAGATAAAAATTTCACCCAGACCCCTGCATTCTTTTAAAATATTCTAAAACCCCCTAAATTTTTATTTAACTCTAATTTAACCCCAATTTCATCATTTAATCAATTTTGGCAAACGACCCCGATTTTTACCATCATTACCGCTGACCGTTGACCGCTGTTGATATTTTTTTTTTACTTTTTTTTTTCTGCATTGACTTTTTTTTATTTAATATTGATTTTGACG